TCCAGCACATATGCAAGTTACATTCCTAGTGAAGAAGTGTTGTTAAGCTACAATATTAGATAAATTGTCTTACCTGCGCGCGAACTGCCAGAATCACGCATCACAACACTCGTACACATTTACAAACGCTGCGTACGCTCGGCCCGCGTGGTCGTCTTCCAAGCTCGTATGAATTAGTCGAAAGGTCGCAACGATGCTTGACACTGTGATCAAAGTTTGTAAAGCGACTCTTTAAGTTTGATGAGATGTGGGTTTTTGGTTTGATTCCCACTGGTCCTGATTTGTGACAAGGTTGTGACTAAGTCCCGGTCTGACACAACTTTGGGCTTGAATCATTAATCGTTTAAGTGAGGTAAACAAGGGCATAAGGATGTCTTTAAAAGTGCAAAGTAGGACGGGGACATGACTAAATGTTGGTTCCCCTGGTGCCTTGTACCTCGCTCTGATAAAGGGAAGGGCCCGGGCGACCACCTAAGGTTTCTTGAAGGTACCCCTCCAGGATGTCGTGCAATCACGCGCGAATTTTCAGTAGCCTAAGGGCGTCTGTTCCGCGTGTTTTGACCCAAAACGCGTCGCTAGCGTTTGTGGATTTGGAGCAGGGGCGGTTTTTTAGGGTTCTAGAGCAAAAGTCGTAAGCTCCATTTGGCGAATGCTGTTTTGTTGCATAATGAATGGCGAGTGCGGAATGGCGAACATGTAAAAAAATCGCGCGCGAAAAGCCGAATCGGCTAAATGACGAACTGCAAAAGACGAACTGTAAATAGCGACCTAGCAAAACATTGACATATCAATTGGCAGACGGCAGAATGCGAAATACATAAGGGTCATATTTGATTTTGGTCCTCGTGAATGATGACTTGGAAACGTGACCATGTCAAATGACTGGATAGATGGCTGGGCTGTGGCTGTGCATTTATGTATGCTATTAAAAGAATTCGCCTGTTAGACTGCTCTGTTAGCGATAAAAAAACAAGGGAATAAAGTAATAATAAATATGCAAGCAGCAGGCTCTACAGACAGGCAGGCGTAAACGAATGGCAGGCGTCAGCTTTACGTGTCGGCTGATGGCTCTTACGACAGAAAGAAAGAAACGGGGCTGTTTTGGGCAAAGAGAGTCGTGCTGGACAAACCGTCAAAGCGATCAAATAGGCAGGGGCATATTTTAGTAACATGCGTTGTGGGGAGACCACGACAAATTATGAAACCTTCCATCACCTTAAATAACAGCCGGAGTTTTCCGAGGATTTGACTCACTTTTCTCCCAAAATTGGGAGGGGGCTTGCGCTATGTTGGGGGTGAGGCTGAATGCCCCACAACGTAATGGGAAACTACACGTCTTACATAATGTTTTCATTCCATGTTTCCATCGACAGGTTGCAGCCTTTTTGCCTACCACTTAACTGGGTGGCATATTTTTTTCCAAAGCTTGTCAATTTTTTTGTCCATGACGCCATTCCGGTTTTTGTGTCATTTTGCATGTCGCCATTTGCCACGCCGTTCATTCATTCAAAGAAGTACTTAATGTTACTGTTTAACATTTGTATGATATTTTCAGCTGGGATAGCGTTTTTCACGATCATAACGTGTAGTGCACATTTACGGCTTTCTAAAAACCTGAAAGCCTCTCGTTTCTGAGCTAGGAGTACGCAAAGGCGTGCAGAATATTTCGCACCGCCCATTTCTCAATCATCTGCATGTGACGCGCCAGAAACTTCACACGATTCCGCCTTCTCAATGTCATACGGTGTTCAAGGTCAAGAAAAATGTGACCATCTACTTTTTCGTGTCTGAAATACATAGGCCAGGAATACGTCGTCCTGGTCAGGACCAGGCCCAGCCGCAGCCCCAGGCCCAGCCCGCTGCAGCCCCAGGCCCAGGCCCGGCTGCAGCCCCAGGCCCAGGCCCAGCCGCAGTGCCAAGCCCACCCCAGTCCGCAGTGCCACCGCAGGCCGCTGCAGCCCCAGCCCAGGCCCAGCTGCAGCCCCAGGCCAGCCCAGCCGCAGTCACAGGCCCAGGCCCAGCCGCATCACAGGCCCAGGCCCAGCCACATGCAGTCCAGCCCAGTCGCAGTACCAGGCCCAGCCCGGCTGCAGCCCCAGGCCCAGGCCCAGCCCAGTGCCAGGTCCACGCCCAGCCGCAGTCCAGGCCCAGCCCGTGCAGCCCCAGGCCAGGCCCGCGCAGCCCAGGCCCAGGCCCAGCCACAGTGCCAGGTCCACGCCCAGCAGTCCCAGGCCCAGGCCTGCTGCAGCCCAGGCCGGCCGGCTGCAGCCCCAGGCCAGCCCGCCGCAGTCCCAGGCCCAGGCCCAGCTGCAGTGCCAGGTCCACGCCAGCCGCAGTGCCAGGGCCAGGCCCAGCCGCAGTTTTCCATTTTTAATAATCATTTTAGCCATTATTTTTCGTGTGTCAAAATTTTGCGTGTTCAGTCTCCAAAACTCATTATTCATCAGAAACTATACATGCTCTCAACTGTGATGAAGGTGCGTCAAATCTGGGTAGAAAACTGTTATAAGCGTATTTCAGAGACAGGCTAGGCTATTTTTTATTGCTGGACCCCCCCCCCCTCCCATCCTCCTCCTTCCTTCTATCACCCCTGCTTTTTTTGCAAAACTGCATCCCTTTAGCCCTACATTTATCCGATAATGTAGTTCTACAAGCACCTGAAACAATATCACTTTTGTTTTGTGATGTCGTCGTATAATCAGCTGGAAGCGTTGGCGACCTTTACTACCTTCGCATAATCATCACTGGCGCAGATCTCGCACTTCCTAACATGACCCCAATTGTTTAGAGGGAACTCCACGCAATGTTGGTGTCAAGAGGACCGAACGACATTTTTTGATAACCTTTAGTACGTTTATTTAG